GAGACCCGACCCAAACCCATCGGTCCTCGATTCGGGTACCCGTTCGGGTATTTAATTTATGAAGAACCACTCGATTCGGTTCGTTTCGGTTCGAAACTTTTGGACACCCCAACTAATTTCACTAAAGAAAATGTGACATAACAGTCTAGAATATATAAAATTATAGTTAGATAGGTTGTTGATTTTCCACATTGTTTGCACAATAACTACATCCTCCATCTATGATCCTTTACAGGTGTAGATTTCGACATTCAAGCCGGGCATGATCACTATTCAGATCGTGCTGGAAAGTTAAATGAGTATGGCCTAAAGGGCAAGAAAGTGTACCTAAGAGTAGCACCCCAATGTCCATTCCCAGATCAAAGGCTCGGAAATGCACTGAAACCGCGCTATTTAACTGTGTTTGTGTACAATTTTACGGCAATCCGCCATATGAATACATCAGCAATGATCCAAACAAGTTCGAGAATTCATGCAATCAATGGACATCATCAATACCTGCTAAAAAGATTTACATTGGACTTCCTGACTCTTAAGGCTGCTGCCGAAAATGGTTATGTTCCAAAACAGGTTCTGATAAATGAAGTTCTGCCATTTGCTAAAAGGTTATTGAGTATGGAGGGATTATGCTTTGGGAAAGGTACACTGATAATGGATATAGTGCTGTTGTCAAGAACAGTGTCTAAGCTTCCTCTAAGCATGGGTAATATAATGTGGTGCATTTTTCGATGAAAGAAAGGCTTCATTATCAACAGTAATTTAATAAATGCTTGGCCATAGAAGAGGTCGACCCAGTTCCCTTCTTTTCCTGTGCACTTGGTTCTTATTTTATGCAGCTATGTTTTTGTGGCGGAAATGATAAATAAATTTGTTCTCTCTGTTAGTTAGTCTGTCGTACTTGTGGAGAAAACTTGTTATGCCGTATGGGCATGTACAATTTTTCTTAAACTTTTCTATGTAGTTTTCAATTCTCAAAAAATCATAGTTAATGGTAAATTGCAAGTATTGAAATAATAACTAACATCTAAGGACTCAGCTACTGTAAATCAGTAAATCTTAACAAGATTAACATTTTAAGATGAAATTCTGAGTTTTTATGTGATTTCAGAGCTTAATAAGTTTTTAACAAATAATTTGATGTGACTAAAACTCCATAATGAATATACAGATTTTAAATATTAGTGTTCACAAACAAGTCACCATCTCACGGACCATTTTGTGGGTAAATTGAACGTTGATTAAATATCAAAACCATGCATTTTTCTAATTTTCTTTGAAATTTTCTTTTACACTTGACAAAAGTTGATCATATCCGAGATTCAACAATTTAGACGAATTCNAAAAAAAAAAAAAAAAAAAAAAATCATATTGTTAAAGGTAAATCACGATTCGAACAAATATTGAAATTATAACCAACAAATAAGGGTTCAAACTACTTCAAGTCTTATCGAAACTCCAAAGCTTAATACTTATATACATATATATTGCGGATAATATTTTATCAAGACGACAGAACGGATTTGTTTCCTTTTTCTTTTGACAATAAGTTAGAAATGAAGTGGTGTTGTATATTCATATCATAACATATGGATAGTAAGAACTAGCAATGCAATTTTCCCTTTTATCTTGTGCAATGCTCATCTAACCAGAGCCTAATAAAACAATAATAAGATCACTTTCTATTTGATGATGACAATTATTTTTAATCAAGACATGATATTACTATGCCACTACAGCAAATGAATCCATGGTGCCATACAGAATTGAACCTCAATATTCTGCAACAAGACAATTGCCAACGTCTTCCGTAACTATTAATATACACTTCCAGGTTGTTATTGATCAGAATGAGATTAGATGGCTTGATATGATCTGATACTGACCTTTTAATGGCTGATCATTTATGGAGCCTAAAATTGAGAAGAACACGATATAATTATGGGTAATTTGCTTCAACATGGAAGAAAATTTGGTGGTAGTGAAAGTACTCTGCGTTTGCATAAGCTTTCATGCATTTGTCTTCAGTTTTTGCATCTTCTGCTTGACAAATAAGGCTGAAAGCACACTCTTGCTACGAACAGGAGTCCGAACAGTCTCTCTTCGAGTTGGATTACCAAAAGATCTAAATGGCATCAAAACACTGGAGCCCTCCTGTGAATCCTGCAATAGAAGTTTTACTGTTAACATGTGATTCTTACCCACACATGAAATGATCAGGTTGTAGCAGAGTAAGTCCAAGAGGAATGAATATTGTCATATGAACACAAAAATATCTTGACTCCAGATAATAAAGTTTAAAATTCTGCCTGCCAACAAAAAACCCATAATATTAAAAAATAAATAAATACTGACTGAAGAACAACCTTTTGCTCCTACTCCTACAAGAACTGAATATTCTCAAAAACAGCAAAAAAATTAAACATAAATTCCAAGAATTTCATAATCTGTTCTCACTCGGCAAATATGAAATAAAGTTTTGACATTACCCTCCGAGCAACACTACGTGTTTGTATAGCGAAACTTGATGTTGGTGTGACTTTCGTACGGGTACTCTCATCAGCCTCTGTTTGACAACAGCAGAAATATAAGTACTTCTGCACTATGGAATATGCCGTATCCGCTTTGCTTTTATATTAGTAGCAAGTCATCCAACACAACAATGAGTGCAGATATAGCTTTTGCATACCTAACATATTGAATGAACCAAAGGTCCTTCCAGATGTTTTTGGGTCCTCACTGCTGCACAAAAAAAATATCATTATTCTTAATTCTGAAATAGGTGTAATATGTGATTGAAACAAGGACATAATGGCTTGTTCGGAAGGATGGATTGTAAAGGATTGGACAGTATTATGGAAGAAAAAGAAGCTTGAATCTTGTTCATTATACTGTCGAGTCCTGTCTGTGCTCCAAACACACACTAAAAGCCAGGTATCTAACCTCATAATCCCATAAGGAGACCCTTTCAAGGTAGCCTTGGTTTCTGATGCTAAATGCCACGAAAGAGTTTTTGCTGCAGAAGCACCTACATCAGACAGCATTAAATGACCAATTTAACCAAGTATTATTTTGCAGCTAGAATCACCCTCCAATGCTGACATCAGCTACCTGAAGAGTATAGACGAGGTTTTGCTTGGATATGTTGCCTTGGACCTGTCTGTATATGTGGGCTGAAGTGAACCTTCTTGTTTATAGAATCTAACACGGCAGACAACCGAAGAAACAGTAAATAAAATACCCAAAACGATATGGATAAAATAAGAGGTAAGTATTTTCAAAGTAAATCATCAATAATTAGACTTACTAGGCAAGATGTAACGTTTGTGATGCCTTGGGATGATAGCTAATAACTGCTGCTGCCTAAGACCTTCTTTATCGGTATACACTTGACATGTTACTAGTTGCTGACATCGAAAAACATAATTTAGCCCTGATTATTGTTCAATCCTCATAAAAAATAAATGTTTACTAAGAGTGAATGTACCTGATTCAGACATGTAATTTTGAGATCCATGGCTGAAATATCCAACGTATGTTGCTCCAGGAGGTCAGTCATTTTGGAAGCAACAGTTCCAAGGTGGTCAACGGCATTGACTAGAGCTCGTATCGCATAATCCTTCAGGTTGTCCAGTACCCTAGTACACAAATTACTGGTCAAACTAAACTTCCAGAGTCACACTATAAGAGAACTTGCGTAATCAAGTTATAAGAGAGGTACAAACAAAGCACCAGCTGAGAAGAACACGTCAACTTTCTTAAAACAAGTATTAACAAATAACATTAAGTGTTATAACTAGTAAAAGAGTAGAGCAAGAAAAAAGAAACACGACAAGGCGTAAAATGTACTAAAAATTGCATGGATGACTATACAAATTGAAACCAAAGACAATTTCAAAATAGAGTGATCCAATAACTTCAAAAATCACCAGATTGCCCAAATTTTAATCATCCATAAGAAGGGGCGGGGGGGATTCATTTAGCTGTAGCTATTTTTAAAAAATAAAGCCAAGCAAACTATGCCTCTGTTTGGTTCAGCTAAAAATTTGGATTAGAATCTAACTTAGAAGCTAATAATTAATTTTAATCACATATTTAGGCTTGTTTGGTCCACATTATTTTTTTCATACTCATTCTTCTATTCATTTTCAACCATACATTCTTCAATAAAATAATATTTTTCATCACATCAATAAATTTTCCTTCTTTTTCAACCACACATTTCCCATCACATCAACAGTAAAAATACATTTTTACCTTGAAAATGTGCACCAAACGGGGGCTTAATGGGATCCACAACTTTTCAACCACACATTTCATCAACTTTTATCAAAATCTACTAAAATTCTGATTTTTATCTAAACCAAACAGAAGTTATATATTTAAGAAACAAAATGAAGCACCGAGTACTTGAGTAAGTTGGAGGTTGAAGTCTTACATTTGCTTCTGCTCACTGTGAAGGTATGACTTTTCACAATACTCTGCAGCAGAATAAAGTTGAGGCCTGAGGTTCTTGAGTTCCTGAAAAAGAAAGGACTTGATGAATAGATATTTTTTTGCCAAAATCAGAAAATCAATGGCAGCAGTAATACAAGAAAAACACACCAAACCTGTAGAAAAGTTTTAAGTAAATTATTTCCTCTGGTTGAGGGTCAAAACAAAATTGTAAAAATTTGTCTGACCCATTGGAATCTAATAAATTTGAGGACTAGTGAACTGTATTGCATTGTTTTCGAGAGACTCAGAATAGTAAGAATCTATAAAGTCAAGAGTTCATAGAATTTATTTGACAAACTAAAAGGGCTAATAAGTGTTATCCTCAGCAAAAATAGCCAAGATGAGCTCAAACTGGATCCATAAAATTAGACAGTAAATAAATGAGATGAGCTGCAGCTCACCCATTTATTCAAGATACGTCATTATAAAGGATATCAGCAGAGGTTAACGTTATATGCGAGCCAATACAACACAGCTGAGAACAAAGCTTAGATCATCACCAAGAGAGTCAAAAAGTAAAATATTCTTATTTAAAAGAGTCAGTCCATAAAATTAGGCTCCAAAACACTCTTTAATTTAACTTTCTAAACTAGAGTGGCTCTAGCTATCAACGGAGAGCCAAATCCGCTCTCCATTTGTATTTTATATTTGTTACTATATATTTCCGCATGTCACAAATTATCCCCACATGAAAGCCAAGAAAGGCACCGGTAGGACTTGTATAAAACGATGATGCCACATGTCTGATCATAATAACAAAACAACGGGGACAAGATGAACCCTAAAACTGCTTCTCCATAATCGCTTCACCATGGCGAAGTTATAGACCTACTTCGTCTCGCCTCTCCTCATGTAATACAAGACCCTTCCTCGTATACAAAAAGAAATTGATCTAGCGAAGTCAACGTAGTCGCACCTAGAAAGTTAGGATTAATAGAACCTAGTGTATTATATTAACAAAGGTCTTGGCTGAACCTATCACTAGTCTCACAAGCACTGCACCTCCTTATAGGCCACGTGGAAGCTAAGTGCAGCGGCCACATGTCCAAACCCTGAGAGAGCTTGCAAAAAAGGTTAAATAAGAAATCTGTAGAAAATGGTGTCTTAACAAATAAGAGAGCAACACGTCTCAAAGGTAATCATCTAGAATGCCAGACTAGCTAAAATTCTACCAATAACACATTGAGACCTGTCTCTATGAATGAAAAGGATTAAAAAGCCCATAGGCTTGAGGTATCTATAAATACTCCAAAAAATAATAAAGAAAACAAGAGTGAAATTGAAAACCCTAGCTAAATTCTTGCACTCTGCCCTCTTGCGTTCTCTTGCGTTCACTTGGTGGCAATTTTCAACATAAAGTAGCTCTTAATGTGCTCTGATGACCAGAAAAAGGAAATAGGATGGTTCGCCAAGGAGGTGGCAAGGGATTTGTTGGCTTCAACATTTTGGGGTCAAGAATATTAATTGCATATAATGAGTTACAAGTTTTAATGCTCCATTTCTTAGATTATTTAAATGATATATGAATACTTTAGCCTTTGGCACCTTATATGGTTTTAAAGAATTTTTTTTTTTCAAATAAATGTTTATTTGAATAAGTAAAACTAAGAACCTAGAAAAGAGACTTGTACAAGTGTATAAAAAAAAAATTTCTTTGAATTTATAGATGCTCTATATTGCCCCTATTTGTGAAGAATAAAATCAGTTTTTTAGTAAATTTTGAAAAAGTTAATGAAATGTATAGTTGAAAAATTGTGGTCCCATGAAATACATTGTTAAAATTATTTGTTACTGTGATTTAGATTAAAACCTTGAATTTAATCCCCACCAAACAGGGGTATTATGTACAACATGCTATTAAAAAATAAAGAGACTCTAGGATATGCTCAGCATAGTAAGAATTTATAAAGTCACAACCTCTTAGAATTTAATTGGCAAACTAAAAGGGTTAATAAGTGTTATACCTCAGCCAGAATAGCCAAGATGAGCTTGAGCTCGATTCGAATATTAGCCACTTAGTAAACAAATGAGATCAGCTGCAGCTCTCCCATTTATTCAAGTTACATTATCATAAAGGCTATAGCAGAGGTTAACATTATAGGTGAGCTAATAATACATAGCTCAGCACAAACCTCAGCTCAGTCAAATCTCAGATTTTGAGATGATAACGTTATAGCTGACAAAAGCAGCAATGCAAATTGACATGTCATTGCAGTAGTTGATAACCACCTAACTCCACCAATAGTACAACTCCAAAGTGTTAAGTACATCAGTATTGAACTTGGCAACACCTTTCAACTTTAAGCTGATCATTATGTCCTCCACTTATGCTATAAATAGAAGTACATTAATATCCGGGGATCCCCAGGTGAAAAATACCCA